ATAGACATGTGACCACTCATTAAGGTTATATTAGTCATTACAAATTTTTCATCTCACCTAGTAGGACCCACCCAACCCAACTCATCTCTCACACGCTAATACACATCACATACACAGATGACAAACACAGGTGATAGAAGGAATATCACCCGATGCACCACTCCACATATGGCCGTCTGACTTCCGACCACCACCATCACACACCGGCGACAACCACCATCATCCCGCCACCGACCACCACAGCCCCGCCACCAACCACCACAGCCCCGCCACCAACCACCACCAGATTCGCCACCAAACACCATCAGCCCAGCCGGCAGCCACCGACTACCACCAGTGTGGTCGTCGACTTCCGACCACCGCCATCAACACACCGTCTGGTTTTGTCACACCGCAGCAACCACCAATAGCCCCGCCACCAATCTCCATCACCGCCGCCACCAACCACCACGAACCCCTCCCCCAACCACCACCAGTCCAACCACCAACCACCACCAGACCCCACCACCAACTCGAAACACTACCAGCCCCGCCATCGACGCCAACCACCACCACCCCTACCATAGTCGCGAACAGACCCGCCGCCACACAGCCACATCGCCGCCGCACAGCCACCATCCGCAATTATCCACCACGGACATCTAGCCGCTCCAGCCAACACCAGCGTCGTCGTCAATATTCGCGCGGATGCCGTCCGCGCCGTCCACCTCTTCTCTGTGTGTCGTCGGTCAATTTCGGATGTCCAAGGTTGACACGACATGTCGACGGAAGCGAGCACCTCTGGCAAATTAACAATCGACCCGACTGTGGCGATTTGAAGAGAGCATGATGGGACGGGCCATAATTTTTTTTTTTTTTTTTGGATGAAACTAATTTCACAAGATCCATTTTTGGGGATGGAGATCGACTTTTGGGGATGGATTTGAAGGAAGCAGGACGGGTGGCGATTTGAAGAAAGCAGGATGGGACTTTTGAAGAAATCAGGATGAGAGTAGTTAGCAATTTTTAAAAAAACTTTATTAATAATTTATAATATAAGTTACTTAATTGTTTAAATATCATATACTAAATTATTAAAAAATTAATAAATAAAAAATAATAATCGAACAAAAATATAAAATTTCGTATCGAATTTAAGTTCCTTTGATCTGTTTCGATTTTGTGCAATCAGATAGACATTTGTGTGCAATTCGTATGATCATAACGTGCACTCGCAATACATAAAAAATATTAGATAAAAAATTAATATTATTTTTTCTTACAAAAATATAAATAATAATAGTAAAAAACCGACTATATTTTTTCATATAGTTCGGCATGGTTGGTTACTCCGTTTATTTAGAAGCACTAAATACGACATTTAAACACCTAATATTATTCGATCGATTAACATAATTAACGTTTACGTGCAACGTATTGTTTTTTGCGATGCATTGTATTGTTGTATAACGTGCAACATATTGATATATAAAGTGCAATACTGAAATTTTAGTATGCTAGCATGCTTGTGTTTTTTTTTTTTTTTTTGTGTGTATAGATTATGTGATGGATATTAAAGTATTACGTAGATCCGTTTTTTTTTTTCTTTTTAAAATTATATTGTGTAATATTTTGTGATGGGAACTGTCGACATTAATTGTGCAGTATGATGATAATGTGCCATGTCTTATTTTATAAAGTGCAACATCTTGTTTTATGTGCATCGTTCTGATGTATAAAGTGCACTACTTTATATGATCACATATAAATTATGTGTTTTTTAAAAATTAGTTTTTGTATATTTAATTGTACATTAAATTAACTTAAATAATCAAAATAATTTATTATTTATTATTGTAACATATATTTATTATTTTAATATTTTTTATAAATTGAAATTTACATACGAGAATTTTATCGAATTATTTATATTATAAAAATATATTTAATATTTATGATTTTTTATTTTATATTTTATATTATTGTTCGTTAAATAACAATAACGTGCACTCGTAGTCATTCGATCGGTCAAACGAATTAATATAAACATTCAAAATGAATTATTATGTATATAATGTGCATTTTATTTATAATTTGGCACTTGAACCAAAATGAAATATAATTAAATTTCTTGAAATTGCAATTAAGTCCTTGCAATATATCTAATTTTCAAAAATATTATCCAAACCCAACTTCCTATTTTCATCTGCACCAACCACCGCCAGCGAACCTCAATGGCGTCGCAAGTCGCACGCACACACAGAGACACCTCCACTTCCACATCCACGGGAAAATAGAATGTCTCGTCGGCGTTCGTCCCTCGATGGCATTTGCGGCTACATCAGCGACGCCAGCGAAGGCGACGTACTCCGACGAGAATCGAGGCGGCAGGTAGGTGCGCCGGAGAGGGTTGCGGCTTCTCGGTGGCTAAGGATGGCGGTGGCAGGATTCTCCGGCGTCTGGCAGCATAGCAGTTGTCACGTAGGCGGCGGCGCCGCCGCCTGAGGCGGTGGTCGGAAGCACCCGGTTAGTCTATGTGTGTATCCTTTCGTGCATATGTGTAATTCTGGGAGAGAGAGAGAGAGAGAGGGAGAGGGAGAGAGAGAGAGAGAGAGTTTGTGAGTGAGGGAGGGATAGTATGAGAGAGAGAGGAAACATATTTAATTTGGGGAAGAGAGTCTGTGAGAGAGGGAGAGAGTATGAGAGAGAGAAGGAAACATATTTAATTTGGGGTGTGTTGGGAATAGGAACGGATTTAAGTTGGGTGGAGCCCACTAATGTGGTGTATAATTTGTGTGTGAGTAAATGTCAATCAAACCTTTAATGATGATATAATATTGGTTTTTTTTTCAACAATAAGATGTATTCTTATTTCTTAGATCAAGATGTATTCTTATTTCTTTCATTGAGAACCATTCTCACTTGAAC